TGTGTGTGTGTGTGTGTGTGTGTGAGTGTGTGTGTGTGTGTGTGTGTGTGTGTGTGTGTGTGTGTGTGATAGAGAGAGAGAGAGAAAGGGAAGAGGGATAGCAAGGAGTGAAAGGAAGAATGAGCAAATTAATATCGAAAGAAAAAAAAAGAGAGAGACGAGGGAGAATAAGACGAAAGGGAGATAGGAAAGAGTGTAAAGCATGAGGCTCGAGTCTCGAAAATGCGTAGTGAGGCAATGGGTGGCGATATGGGATATATGAGGCCGTCCACTTGTGTGTCAAGATACGAACCTATTTAGAGGGTGCGAGGAAGAGGGGCGGGAGGGGAGGGGGGTGTGAAAAGCGAGTTTGAGAGGGGAGAGAGAGATTGAGGGAAAGGAAAAGGGAAAGGCAGAGAGTGTGAATGTGAGAGCGAGACTGAGATTGCATGAAGGGAAAGAAAGAGAAATGTAGAACGTGAGAAAGAAAGAGAGAAATAAAGAAAAAAGAAGAAGTTATGATCATTAGAAGAGGGACAGAGCATCACTAATGGGATTAAGAGGCAGGAGGGACTAATGAGAGTAGTTATGAACTCATGGACACCAGATACAAGTTCAAGCTATAATTAGAGTGTGATGGCGGGCGTGGGTGGATGTTATGGGTGGGTTGGTGGGCGTCAGAGGGAGAGGCAATGGTGGGCGGCGTTTGTAACCAGTAGGCGGGGCTTACGGATGTTCTCTTGAATGCATTTCAGGTGTTCATTTATTAAGTTTTTTCTTACTGTCATAATCGATGTCGTCGCCATTTGTTGTCATCATTATTGTCAGCAGTTTTATGTATGTTGATATAGCATGCTTTGAATGCTTTATTCCATCAGTAGATTGACACAGATTGAAAGGCGTATCATTTATGCACCATGTATCCAATTATGTTTTGGCGCATGCTGTTGAAACTGCTGAGAGAGGAGAGAGAAAGGAGGGGGAGAGAGGAGAGAGAGAGAGACAAAAGATGGAAAAGAGATAGAAAAGAGAGAGACGAGAGATAGAAGAGAGAAATGAGAGAGAGAGAGAAATAGGAGATAGAAGATGGAGACGAGAAATATAAAGAGAGGAGATGAGAGATAGAAAGAGAAAGGGGTGAGAAATAGAAAGAGAGAAAGAGAGAGAGATAGAAAGAGAGAGAGAGACGAGAGACAAAGAAAAAGAGACGAGTGATAAAAGAGAGAGAGAAAAGAGAGAGAGTGAGTGAGTGAGTTATTCTGAAGATTCATTTATCTCTGTGACTTGCCAACATCAGTGGCCCCACGTGCAGATACCTTGCCTTATATACTATACTTGTGTATGTTTGTGTTTGTTTGTTTAAGAGTACAATTTTGTGCGTATGCATTTGCTTGAGTGTACAGTTTGTCTTCACGTAAGCAACTGCAATATTGACTAATGTGTCTACAGGAAATCTTCAGAAACTAGATATTTTACACATATAAGCAATACCATACATTTTATTTATTTTCCTTTTTTTTAGAGTGGGCAACGGTGCATGAAGAAATGAAAGCTGATGGTTTTTATTTCTTATTTTTGTTACTTTTGCTCCAATGAGATGAAGCTTGTCACCATTTGAATAGTTACAGAGAGCTCTAGAGATATAGGATGAATTGTAGATAGTATGTGAATGTTACAGTGCTTTGTCTCCTCCTCCATCTATTCACTGTGTCCTTTTCCTTTTCTCTTGATCGGTCCGAATTTTTTTCTTCTTTATGTCTTAATCTTTCGTCATTCCTTATTCTGCTTCTCTCGCCTTTCCTCCCATCACTCTTGCCCTCCTATATTCCATTCATTCCCCCCATCACGAAAATGATTAACGATATTTCTTTTCCCCCTGCCCCTCTGTCTTTTTCTCGCTTTCTCTCGCCCTTTTCCACTCCTCTTTCTCTACGTCCTCCTTCACCCTTTGCCCCTTACCCCCCACCCCCTGCAGAATGATGTGGCTGGCGGAGACTCATCCTCGGAGGGGTGTGGGCGCCTGGGTGTGGGCCTGGAGGAGGAGGGCGAGATGGCGGCAGCGCCCTTCAAGCAGGTGGTGGTCGGGATCTGCGCCATGGAGAAGAAGTCCGGGTCCAAGCCCATGAAGGAGATCCTGACGCGGCTGGAGGAGTTTGAGTACCTCAGGCCCGTTATCTTCCCCGAGGAGGTCATTCTGAAGGTGAGTTTAGGGAGGAGAGAGAAAAAGAGGAGAGACTTTGGGGCAGGGAGGAGGTTTGAAGGTCTCCATCTCTAGGTCTTGTTCAAGGTGAGGTTCTGAGGCCAAGGAGAGGGCATGGAGGGAGGTTTTTTAAGGCTCCCGTTTCAAGGTCTAACTCAAGGTGAGTCATTGTGATAAAGTAGGAAAGAGGTGCTTGATGCTGACTTTTCATGGCCTTATTCAGGGTTACTGTAACGAGGCAGAGGGTGAAGGTTGAGGGAGTGGGCGCTTAGAAATCTTACCCGAGAATTTATTCAAGATGAGTTCACATGATGAAGAATGAGGGAGGGAAGAGGTGATAGGGGCCTTCTCTGGTAAACTGCTACAAAGGATGAGGCAAGGATGAGAATGCGAGAGGAAGGCTTTCAGGACTTCTGGTAAGATAGTGTGTGGGGGGGGGGGGATGTGTTCATAAACATTGAGCACTTCCCAGCAACTTTCAATGGTTGAGTAGGAGCATCAAGATAAACTTTATTATTTCTTCTGGGATGTGCAGAACAATTGACTGGATTGGCAAAAATTGGAAAATTGTATATATGTGTATATATATATATATATATATATATATATATATATATATATATATATATATATATATATATATAATGTATATGTATCTATATATGTATATATATATATACAAATGAATAAATGTGTGTGTGTGTGTGTGTGTGTGTGTGTGTGTGTGTGTGTGTGTGTGTGTGTGTGTGTGTGTGTGTGTGTGTGTGTGTGTGTGTGTGTGTGTTTGTGTGTGTGTGTTTTTATACACATATGTATACATATACATATACATATATATATTTATATATACATATATATGAATATGCATGTATAAATATATATATGTATGTATATATAAATATATAATAATATATATATATATATATATATATATATATATATATATATATATATATATATATATATATATATATATATATATTCCTATGCATTAACTTTTGATTGCAGTCAAAACAACTTTCTGGTGTGTAGGACAAAAATCAAAACATTACTCCCTGTTTGATCAATCTGCCAGAAACAAGTAAAACATCTTCGCTGCTACACTAATGGTTTTGTTTGATGACATAATCTGGTTTATGTAGATAACCTCCACTTACACTTGACAGATAACGATTAGACTGATAAGAAGTGTACTTTTAGAATTAAGATCAGACGCATCCTGGTAAATGGAAAGCTAGAGAGAGATATACGAAATGTTCTTATCAGCAACCCACTTTTATGAGATACAAAGGTTGTGAAACAAGAGAGAACTTAATTGAAAGTTTTCATTTGCTACTTAGTCCATATTATATATTTATTTATTGTATGTTCCAAATTTAAACTGGTATCTCATAAACCTTTGTTCATAATCTGACTGTTATAGTTTATAGTTTGAAGAGGCACAAAAATTTCTTTGGCATTAATGAAGTTACCCTTGCATATATTTTAGCAGACATTCCTACCATGACTTGTATATTAAATTGTCCCATCAGTTCTTCATATTCTCTTGTTCTCTTTCAATCAGGAACCTGTAGAAAAATGGCCAGTATGTGACTGCCTCATCAGCTTTCACTCAAAGGGCTTCCCATTGGAGAAGGCCCAGGCATATACAGAGCTGCGTAAGCCGTACATCATTAATAATCTTGATATGCAGTATGACCTCCAGGTGAGTGAGTTTCAAAGGTATATACAGCGCATAAATCGTAGAGCCTGCAGAAAGATATTGTATGTGCAAGAGTATAGATTTAGTGGTGTGTGTAACACTGTACTGATGCTTTTTATTTCTAATATTCCAGGACAGAAGAGCTGTGTATAGCACATTACAAAGAGAGGGGATTGAGCTACCAAGATTTGCCATTCTGGACAGAGATTCCAAAGACCCTTCTAGTAAGTAGAGACAGATAATTGGACACACACACACACACATTAAGAAAAATACAAAGTGACACAATAAGGAATTGAGAATGTGGTAAAATATACCAAGTAGGATGTATATTGATGTTCACAGTAGCTACAGAGCCAGTTTCGCTTTGTCAAACCAAACCAAACAAAGTTAAGATATAAAACTTACATTTTTATCCAGAACGGGAACTGATTGAAGGTGAGGATCACGTGGAGGTGAATGGAGTAGTGTTCAACAAACCATTTGTAGAGAAGCCTGTATCTGCTGAAGATCACAACATCTACATCTACTATCCTACTTCAGCAGGAGGAGGATCCCAGAGGCTGTTCAGAAAGGTGAGGCAAAAGAATTCAGAGAGGAGAGAAAGGGGCAAGGGATAGTTTAATGTGAAAAAGAAACGAGAACAAGGGGGAGGAAAGAAGGAAAGAATTAAAAAAAAAAAAAAAAAAAAAAAAAAAAAAAAAAAAAAAAGAGGAAACCTGCAGCAGAGGGAGTTTGTAATCCCACTGCTGCCACCAAATATGATTTCTCTTCTCCGTCTATGCACAAAAGTGAGAAAGTGGCAAAATGGGTGGGGATAAAAGATGTTTGATTAGTATTTGATTTTTATTCCTCTCAAGTTTTTACCAATAATAGGAATAGTAATGGTTTCATATATGACTTCTTCTTTTTTTAATATAGAGCTTAATTTCACTTTTTATTGAAACTTTTTTCAGATTGGTTCCAGGAGCAGTGTCTATTCCCCAGAAAGCAGAGTTAGAAAAACTGGGTCATATATATACGAAGATTTTATGCCCACTGATGGAACAGATGTAAAGGTATAAGAAATAAAAGAGTTCATATCTTAGAAGCTTACAAAATCACAATAAAATAAATGTACCAAAGATAAACTGAAAGAATATGAGTATATTACATATGAAATTTTCCCTTTAAAACTCAAATATTTGTTCAATTTCAATAGGAAATCCTAATTACACAAAGAAAAAATTCTTCTTTATTTCCAATGACTAGGTATACACAGTAGGACCTGATTACGCCCACGCAGAGGCACGAAAATCGCCTGCACTGGATGGAAAAGTTGAAAGAGATAGTGAAGGGAAGGAGGTTAGATATCCTGTGATATTATCCAATGCAGAAAAATTAATAGCAAGAAAAGTGTGTATTGCATTTAAGCAGACAGTGTGTGGGTTTGATTTATTAAGGTAAGTTGCTGCACTCGTGATTTGGATTTGCACTTAAGACATTTTGTTTGCTAATTGTATTAGATTTGGAGCACATTCATATAAGCATTGAAAATATGCATGTAAAACATTTGTAATAAGAAAAAAAAGATGAATATACACTACTGATATACATCAACATTATATAACTTCTCCCACAGAGCAAATGGAAAGTCATATGTATGTGATGTAAATGGGTTTAGTTTTGTCAAGAACTCCAGCAAATACTACGATGATTGCGCAAAGATCCTTGGCAACATGATATTGCGTGAATTAGCACCAACATTCCACATCCCTTGGGCAATTCCTTTCCAGCTGGATGACCCTCCTATTGTACCAACTACCTTTGGAAAAATGTAAGTTGTATGATACATATAAGGCATATTGAATGTATGACTGTGTTTTTTGTTATGTATTTAATTGTTATGTTTTATTTTTTCAAGGTTGGTGTTACCTATAAAGTATATAGAGTTGAAAAATGTTAATCTTGATGATAAAAGAAGACTATCGTTTTCAATTCCTTTTGCTTTCCAAAATGAAAGAATGTAGATTATTGCTTTGTATACAATAGTTGATCAAAACTGAGGGTAAATGACATAAACAAGATGCTTAATGCCTCCTACCATCACTTCCCACAGGATGGAACTGCGATGTGTGGTTGCTGTTATCAGACACGGTGACAGAACGCCCAAACAGAAGATGAAGATGGAAGTCAGACATCCCAAGTATGTCAATATTATTTAGTATTTGCAATAAACTGTGCTAAGTCATGAGTAAGTCATAATAGTTGTTAGAAAAGATGTCTAGTATCAACAACAAAAATCATCCATTGATCTATTTTCTTATCTTCAAATGGGATAATATATTTTTTTTTCTCCTTTTTTTTTATATAGATTCTTTGAGCTCTTTGCCAAATATGATGGTTATAAAGATGGTCATGTCAAGCTGAAAAAGCCCAAACAGCTGCAAGAGGTGCTGGACATTGCGCGGGGTTTGCTGGCAGAGATCGAGCAGAACCGAGCAGACCCAGAGACGGAAGAGAAGAAGGGGAAGCTGGAGCAGTTGAAGAGTGTCTTGGAAATGTGAGTTTGGGGTCCCTCGTGAGCACGGCTTGGTCATCGTGTTGTACAGTTTGTGTGCTATTATTATTATTATTATTATTATTATTATTATTATTATTATTATTATTACTGTTATAATAATAATAATTATTATTATTATTATTTTCTTTCTTTTTTTTGCATCATTATAATTTCTCTTATATTATTGTTATGATGATTTTCTATGATTATCATTTTTTGTCTATCTTATTTATATTGAGTTTTTGGTTTTGATCTTTATGGAGCTTCCCTTGGCCATAGCAGTCCTCCTTCCATGCATTTTGTATTTCACCCTTAGTGGATTGTCACACTTGGTGTTTTTTTTTTTTGTTTGTTTTTGTTTTCTTATTCATTTGTGCTTTGTATGTTGATAAACAGACTTCTATCTATTCCAACCTGCTTACAGCTTTAACATTCCAAAGAAAGAATGCATTTTTTGCTGGCTTTTGTAACAATGCATACTCTGTTTGAAAGCATCTTCAGCATGCATTGGATATGAGATTGGTTGACATCTGAATTGTGTGTAAATGAAACTGATTTCCTCTTTGAACTTTTGTGTGTTACTAAAGTTTTTGATATATTTCTAGTACTACCATGATTCTAGTTTTGCATTCTCTTTTTTCTCTTGCTTTTTAATCAGGTGATTCTACTTTGACAATAGGTAAGAGAAGCATAGCAGCAGTTCTATATTATGTGTGACGGATTTAAGAAGAATGTGTATATATACTTTAACACTTGTCTTTCTATGCATTTTCTTGGTTTTCATATCATATTTAAAAGACATATTTTTAAAAAATCTTATTATTCTTTCTAGTATACTTTGAAGGAATCAGACCAGAAAGGAAAACTCGGTAAATTCTAATGTGTTTATATAGATTTTTGGGAAGTTTACTTACTTTGAAATAATGCTAAAGATGAATAGTATGCAATAACTCTTCCCAATTATGTAGACTTGGCACAATTAATAGAAATTGCCCTAAGCCTGAAGGAAGAATATAAGAAATGAAAATCAGCTGAGGAACCTCTACTGAACGTTCTTCTTTTCTCCCTCTTTCTTTC